GGGGGCTCACCTTTTTCATCCACAATTTCTTTCTTTTCCTTACCTTGAATGGATTTTAGGGAGAGTCCATTTGGTAGACATGGTTCCTATTTTCCAGGAAAATATTATTGGTTTTAGTTTGGTAGCTGAACAAAGGATGAGTGATGCTACAATGCTGTTTCATCTAAAGCAAGTAACCTTATGTTGAAATTCTGTTGATTTGGGTCACTTACCCTGACAAATATAACTATTCCTGCAAAGCAAGTAACTTTAGTTGCAATTTTTTTAATTTGGGTCACTTAAGCTTACAAATATAGACTATAGAATGGATGACAGAAGAACTTCCTCCCGTGAGCGGAATGTAAAATGACTTGTGACTTCCATTAATTAAAAAAATAGAACTTTGTCTAATTGTACCCACTAAGTCATGCTAACATATTTAGAACCCTTCTTTAGAAAGAAGGAACTGATCGTGTACTGAGTCTATCTCTACAACCCCTTTTTTTTTTTTTTTCGGCTAGGTGCTTACCAACAAGGCTAGAAACATACTTAGTCTAACACACATTCTTTTTCTAAAAGGAATGAAGAGTAAAACAAACGCAAAACCACATAGCACAGAGTGAAAAATGGAAAAATATTAAGAATCAATTAAGGGCTGCAAAGTATAGAGAAAAAAGGACTGTTGATCCTCCCTAGACCTAGATACCTAGATGTTTAAAACTTGAGCAGGGTTGATTAGCCTCCAAAAGCTAAAATTTGGGACTTTGAGGAGGATTTATTGTTCTTGGGGTTTCCTAGTATGGAAAACTATAGTTTAGAAGGGAAAAACTGAAAAGGACAAGGAGCTGGCTGCGGCAAACATCACAGTATGCAGGGAGCATATGTTTTGGTTAGAAATAGTAGAAGTTGTCTAATTTGCAACCAATGTAAATTAATTTTAATATTTTTGATTTTCTAAAAAAAAGGGCTAGAGTTTCCCCTAAAATATCAACTTTCTCCCTATTAATCATAAGAAAACAAACATTCAATAAACACATTCCAACAGCATGATCACTCATACCAAATTCCAAGCAGCAACATCACAATAATCAAGATCTCAACTATTTTAAACTCATCCATATATAATTAGATAATGTATAACTTGATTATATATTTATTAAAAAGGGCAAATTTCACCTAAACTATCATTTTTCCCCTTGTTAACCATAAAGAAAAAGACATTTAAATTATCAAACACATCCATATAATGATCACCAACACCAAATTCTTAGCATCAACATCCCAATAATCAAAATCTATTAATATTTTATTCTTATTTTCATACCTGGAACATCTCCCATGCAAGCCTCTTCTTTTCCTCTAGCCAATTAGTCCAGAAAAGCACAGGTTCATCATATAAAAACTTCCATATAACTGTTGCTGCCTGCCAAATCTCTCATTGCTAAATGACCCACGTTGATTTATTTTGAGCAATTTTCTCTGACTTGGATTCGCTGGTGCTTTGTCTCCCTTATCCATGCCACGTCCCGTCTTTTGGATAGCATGAGATAGCTCCTCCTCAAGTGCAGCATCCAACTCAGGATCAAGTTGATCATACTCAGCAACAAGCTCAACTTCTAAGTTACGCTCTTCAACTAGCTCCTCCGCATCCTCCTCCATTGGTGCCTCATCACCAAGCTCCTGATCAGGCAATGGAGGCTACTACTGCACCTGCGAGAGTGGATGGGTCCAAGTAGGCAACTGTTGTTGGTGCAGTTGTGTGATTGGGGGGGTCAAAGTGGGCTGTTGTTGCTGCAGTTGCTGCCGTGAGGGAGGCTGGCTCAAACTAGGCAACTGTTGCCATGAAGGAGGCTGGCTCAAAAGTAGGCAATTGCTGTTGTGAGGGAGGCTGACTCGAACTGGGCATCTGTTGCTGTGTGGGAGTAGCCTTACGAGGCCCATGAATAAGACATCGAAGTTGCTTTTGTGCTTTATCCAGTGTATTACTGGCTTCTTTAGACGATGATTCACCTCGAGTACCTCGTCCCATATCTATACACACAAAATAATAAAATTACATAAGCTTTCATGAGATAATTGTAAAATTTAAAGATACCATAAATAGAATAAATAAACATATAAATAATACAAATTTATAATATATTTGTAATTACATGCTTCATCAGCAAACTGGAGATGTAATAAGGAACAAGGAGTTTATGGAATTTCTTATCCTGATCAAAAGCGCTTGAAGGTAACATCATATTTATGCCCTTTATTTTTTAGTTTTAATTCTAGTTACTTGATTTATTGGTTGTATTTGTTATGTTCCTATGATTTTTGGTATTTCAATTTGATTGTTGATTTGTTTCACTCTGAGATCATCAAAGCAACAACACTTATAACCAATATGAGAAATAGAGAAAAAAAATCTACCCTACACGCTACCTAAATCCCCTACAGTTTTTCCTTTTCTTCTTTGGCTTGCATAGGAAATCTACCCCTTTTTCTTTTCGTACAAAGTAATAACCAATAAGTAAATTATATGCTACTGTATAAATCATAACTCAACAAAAAATAGAGAGGTCCATACACAATGGCCAAAGAAGATAAGATATTTCAAAGATGATTTTAAGGAAATATCTCCAAGGTGATTGGATGTTGGATGGTAACCTCGAGTTTCTCTTCCACTTTTAAAATTGAGTAAGATAATATCCAAATAGAATGAGTTGAGGGATAGAAAATATTGTCCACCACTATACAATTTAATATATAAAAAAAGTAATTATTATGGATATGTAACAAACATATTAATATTAATTAATTAGGAGTACCATCCATAAAAGAAAAAAATACCAGTGAAGATTTTAAGTAATAACTCTTACAAAAATATGAATATGCTAATGTATGTCATACAAAGGATTAAACACTTGCAAATGTATCAATATGCTAACATATAAATCATAACTCAACAAAAAATAGAGATTTTGAGAGCCAAAATAAATTACAAAAAGTTTTAGTGTCACATTTTTTTATTGAAATTTGAAACATCATGCCAAAAGCATGTAATATTGGAACAACATCCAAGATCATGAATCTTAAGTACAATAAGGATATGAATTATGTTGATATTAAAAACCTTTACTAATAATCTTAAGGATGATTTAGAATCAGACAATAATATCTCAAAATAAATACAATATATAATATCTAAATATATAAAGTTAACATAAATTATAAGTCTAAATCTAAATATCTATTAATATAAACAAAATATAATATACATATAAAGAAAATGTCCTACTTTAGTAACACAAGCAAAATATAAATGGTCATCCATCATTTGTTCGGTTTAAGAAAAAAGTCAAAGAAAATGCAACTAGTCACTATCACTCTCGGTTAAGTAATCTGGAACTTCTTCTTCTGGTGTTTCTATCCCCTCAAATTCATCCTCTTCCTCATCATCCTCATCCACACATTCTTCCTCATTTTGTTCAACCACATAAGATAATTGCATATCCTCACCAATCACCACTCGTTCTCCTCCAGAGATGCTAGCGAAACATGATCATCTACAATAGTTGAGGGTTGCACCAACTGCGTCATAGGAGGATCATCATCCTGATAATAATCATTTACACAATCACCTAGAGATGAAGTGTCAATTATCGCTCTAGCCCTAATCTTACATGCAGCATACCACCCTCTCCTACAAGGATTTCTAGAAGGATAAGAAGTGTAGAACACTTGTTGAGCTTGACTTGCTAAGATGAAAGGTTCATTTGTCTGTAGTTTAAATCGAGGATTTATGTCAACTATATGAGATAACGGATGGATCACAATGCCTTTGTTCAAATCATACCTATCACAATTAAACAAAATCACTGACTGAGGAACAGATGAGTCAACATAGTGAAGTTCAATAATTTCTTTCAATTGCCCATAATAATCCAACTCATCATCATTTAAAGTGGTTCCCCTGACACAAACCCCACTATTCATGGTCTTTTTGTTTTTTCCATATGAGATAGTATGAAATCGGAATCCATTAACCCAGTAACCGTTATATAACCTAACATTATTGACAGGTCCAGTTACTAAAGTCAATAGGCGTGGATCAACCTCGTATATTCCGCTCCGGACCTACATTTGTTATAAAAGTGTTGAATATTATATTTTTATTAAAATTAAAATTGAACTCCCAATAATACAAATTAACATAATGAATGACTCACTGTTGTTTTAAACCAAGGAATAAACTCAAGTTCTTGTTTCATGTCAGTTTGGTCTCGTGATAGTCCACAACATATTTGAGAATCGAAAAGTCTACATTAAGAAGAGGGCGTTAACAATCTATAAATTTGATTAACCCAAATAAAAGAAAGTTAGAGTAGAACGTACGCAATCCATGGCTTTACTTCCTCACAATTAAGCAAAACATAAAGTTCTGCTGCCTTCAATTCCCTGGGTGACAATGCCCGCCCACGCAATTCTCCCCACAGAGGTTGACCTTGATTTTTAAAGACAGATAAACAACCATCCATATTATCATTCCTGTTGACAATGTTTCTTAGCAGGCAATTCAATCTGGTCTCTATATCGGATCCAAAATAATGCGAGCAGAAAAAAGAAATTTCCAAAAGAATGTAAGCCTCACAGATCGATACTCCAACACGATTTTTATTTAGGTTAAAACCCCTTTTTGGTCCCTGAACTATTGTACGGACCCCCGATTTGGTCCCTGAACTAAAAAAATCCCTGATTTGGTCCCTACTGTTTACCATTTTTACCCCGATTTGGTCCTCCCGTTAAAAATTGTGTGACGTGGCCTGTTAGTTAACGGTTACCGGATGACATGTCATATACTAATCCACGTGGAAGATAATATAATCAAAAAGTGATGATGTGGAAAAAAAATAATATAAAAAATAAAACTTAAAATTTTTTTTCTTTTTCCATTTTTTCTTTTTTCCTTTTTTTCTTTCTCCTTCCCCTTTCCCTTTCTCCTTCCCCTTTCCCTTTCTCTTTCTCCTTCCCCTCGGAACCCACCCAGGCGCTGGGTTCGCAAGGAACCCAAGCGTGCTGGGTTCGGTGCGAACCCAGACGCGAACCTAGCGCCTGGGTTTGCAAGGAACCCAAGCGTGCTGGGTTCGCAAGGAACCCAAGCGTGCTGGGTTCGCGCCTGGGTTCCACGCTTGGGTTCCTTGCGAACCCAGGTGCAAAAAATTTTTAAAAAAGAATTTCTGTTTTTGATTTTGGATTTTGTTGTTTGATTGTGATGAAAAATTGATTGATTTTGGATTTTGTTGTTTGATTGTGATGAAAAATTGATTGATTTTGGATTTTGTTGTTTGATTGTGATGAAAAAGGCTAGGTTTTTGCAGGTGCTTAGTTCGTTTGCAGGTG